TCACTTCAATAGCAATAGCACTTAGGCTGAGTCAACCTTGAGCCATTGAGATTTGAACTGCCAAGCTGCAGCTAGCAGTCAACTGAAGTAGCCTGCAATGCTGCACTCTAACCACTGCGCCACCTCGGCTCACCTCAATAGGTCATTCCAATACATGAATTATGTTCAACTGAACTTGTACTGAGCAGACAATAAGCATGCCAAATTGGGCAATGGATTGGGCTGCAATTCATTGTAAAGATAAAGATTTCAAACTTAATTCTCAATGAGCTGATCTATAGAGTAGGTTGTGCAGTTTTTGGCAAAAGGGTTTTGCAACTGTCTTTTTCTGGGACTTTATTCAGGCAGGCCTATAATTATCAGATGGTTCCTCATCCAAATGTTAAGCAGGGTTGACTCAGCTTAACTATTATAATTTAGCAAATAAGAAAAAAAAATACTTTCATTATCCTGAGAGTAGCTTAGAATGGCAAGAAAAGCTTTCTTTACATAATCAAGTGCTATCTCACAGCAATAATATGTTTACAATTCTTAAAAGCAAAAATGATTAAATACTTGGCTATATCCCCAGAGCCAGTACCAGTTTGGAGAGGCAATTTGGTTAACTTCTGTGGAGAAAAAATTCAGTAAAATTAGCAGGAGCATCAGCAAGATTTAACATGAGTGGTAAAATAGATCATCAAATAATTTCCTAATGAGAATTAATACAACCACATGCTTAAGAGGAAAAATCCATAGCAACTTTTACAGATTATGATTTCAGTATGTATAAATGTACCATACTTTACACCTATTGATTCAGCCCCAGTTTGGAAAATCATGAATTGTGATTCTAACTAAATCAGAGACTTTCTAATTTGATTTAGTGCCCAAATCCAAAGAGACATTTTGCAACCCAAAGCTTGGTGCATCACAACGACCAGACCATGAAATAAACAAATTCAACTAGGGGGAAGAGAGGTAGGATTGACAGAATCTTTTTGTAGAAATTTTGCTCAATAAAATTCATTATTATGTAATACAAAATATACAAATTTCCTCAAACATCTCCCAACAGTATCACAAAATATTTCCAGAAGAAAATATGTATAAATAGCCTCAATCCCTCACAATAGTCACAAATAATCCTTATAATATTTACAAATGATACAAAGATGTCTTTTCCCGGAATGGGACAACTTGCTACAGTCAACTCGCTGCAGGCCAACTCATCACAGCCAACTCACCATGGGACAACTCTCTGCGGGACAATTTAACAATTCTATTTAATTATTTAAAATAAATAAAAACATTATTCATTTTGTGTTGTCTTATCTTAAAACATCTACTTTGTTAAGGTTCATCTTATTTTATCCACAGAATTCACTGACCATGCAAAGTTACAGTGTGCATTCCTTATTTGTAGTTTAGCACTATGTATATATTTCACTATTGCTGTTTCTAAATCATGGCTTATAACTTCATATTTTATAAACCTGTAATAAAGCATAGTTAATCCTGTCCTGCCTCTGTATCAGTGGTGGGTTTCAAATTTTTTTACTACCGGTTCTGTGGGTGTGGCTTGGTGGGTGTGGCTTGGTGGGTGTGGCAGGGGAAGGATACTGTAAAATCTCCATTCCCTCCCCAATCCAGGGGAAGGTTACTGCAAAATCCCAATTTCCTCCCAATCAGCTGGGACTCAGGAGGCAGAGAATAGACGGGGGCGGGGCCAGTCAGAATTTTTACTACCGGTTCTCCGAACTATTCAAAATTTCCGCTACCGGTTCTCCAGAACTGGTCAGAACCCGCTGAAACCCACCTCTGCTCTGTATCCCCCTGACCTAAGGCTGGACCAATTAAAATAAGGTTTTTGTGATAGATTGGAACTTCTAATCATTTGACAACATTTGATAGTCTACCCTGTAACTTTGTATATAGGTCTATATGTTGTGGGATTCTGTAAACAGACTTATATTTTAGTCCATTTACAGCCATCTTTATTTATATCTACGACATTAATATCTATTGCTTAGGAACATAAGTTTCACTTGACAACATATTGGGGAGAGATTAACAAACAGAAGTTTTTAATTTTTAGAAATTCCAACAATAAAACTGAATGCCTTTATTCATAGACTGTGTTTAAATCAAAATAGGGTTGGCTTGGTTTCACCTTTAATATAAAATGTGACACTCCTTCTGGCAAACAAAATCATTATGGCTTTTTCAACAAACTGGAGTTATAACAAACCATGGCTTAGTGAAAGATTTGGGCACAATGAGATAATGAAGATCTCTTTAAAGATACAGATTTGAAATATGCATCTTGATCTAACTCCTGTAATCTTCCAATCTGAGCAGTAAAAGGACAATTGTTGTACAAGTACACAAGCAACTAATATTTTTGATTACTTTAGAATAAAAAATGAATTAAGATTTGATTAGAATAGTTTTAACTGCTGCTACATTAATAAACGTCTCCCATCTTCCTTTTCTTTTCCAAGTCAGGTGAAATGCAAGCACAAGAGACAATATTTGCAAATTTAATATCTTCCTAAGCAATAATCAGTTATAAAATTCCTCCTAGAGTTTGTCAGGACCTGGAAAATACACTCCCAACAATACTTGTGTGCAATTATATCAGTTCCTGTGTAAATGGCCAGAGGAATTTAGTATTGACAAAGTGTAATATGCCTGAGACAGATTGTGTAAATGTCAGTATATTGTTAGGTGTAATTTACTGGAGAGCCTTGCTAAATATAGAAATGATGCAGTAGATCATTCTCCTACCACACCTGGTTTGCAGCATTAAATAATCAGGAAAGAATACCAGCTACTTAGCTAGCAAGAATGGTCATTAATAGACTTCTTATCTTTTAGCTATTAAAGATAATAGGTTTTTATCATATGCTTAATAATTAAATTCCCAGAAGAGTTTCTTATTTTTATTCGCATGCCAACAGATTAGAGCCCAGCTCTTAATGACAGTTGGTTTTAACTATATTAACTTGATGTTGCCTGAAAATAATGACATTTATCATGGTGTATGTGCAATGAGTACACGCTACTGGCCCTGATACAGAATTTTTTTAAAAAAAAATCCTAAATCAAAGCTACAATATTTTAGTAGAAAATTAAAGATCTGGGAAAGAGGAATTTGGACAAGTGCCTATTGCTTAGCAAAAAGACACACACATCCTCCTTGTTTTTACATTGCACTAAGCTGTTATGTGTTACAGCTATGCGTGTTACGTAATTTTGAATATTGTAATTAGTGAGCCATGCTTTTTGACTCGGTATGTTGCATGAAATTAGAAAATTCAGGTTTATATACCATTGGGGTAGAAGTAAAGTATCCTTCAGTGCCTGTGTGAATGTGTCCATAATGTAACATTTCTGTCTTTCTTTGCTTCCAATCCATTCCATCAGGAATTTATTTTAACCTGATATTCAACCTTTAGCCTGAACTCTCAACAGAAACCATACCAACCCTTCTCTATGAACTGTAAAGGCTGCAAATAATACCCTGTTTTCCCCAAAATAAGGCATCCCCTAATAATAAGCCCAATCAGGCTTTTGAGCGCATGTGCTAAAATAAGCCCTCCCGAAAATAAGCCCTCCCTGAAAATATTTAATTGCAGAGCTGGAAATCAGGTAAGACGGCAAGAGGTGCCCCATCTTGCTCCACGCACCCAAAAATAATTTATTTATTTATTATTATTTATTAATCAAATTTCTATACCGCCCTACTCCTGAAGGACTCAGGGCGGTGAACAGCCAAGATAAAATACAGATAATACAAATATTAAAAAAAATCCCTTAAAATTATTAAATATTCGGCCGAAACACAGATTAAAACACCCAATTTGTAAAATCACAAATTAAAAAATTTAAAAATTTAAAAGATGGGAGTTAGGCCAGGCCAGCTTGCTGAAATAGAAAAGTTTTGAGAGCACGGCGAAACGTGCGCAGGTCCGGGATCTTCCGTATCTCTGGGGAGAGCTCGTTCCAGATGGTAGGTGCCCCCACAGAGAAGGCTCTCCCCCTGGGGGCCGCCTGTCGACACTGTTTGGCCGACGGCACCCTGAGGAGCCCCTCTCTATGGGAGCGTACTGGTCGGTGAGAGGCTATAATAAGGCCTCCCTGAAAATAAGGTCAAGCGCTTATTTCGGGGTTCAAAAAAATATGACGGTCTTATTTTCGGGGAAACACAGTAGGCTTTGGTTACATGGACAAGAGAGACATAATTTTAAAAGGAACTAGTGAGTCATGTGTACAGTCCTCCATTTGTGCAAGCCAGAGATAGACTAAACCTGTAAAAATTTCCAGCTGCTACTTGTGCTTGTTCTTCTTGTACTGCTCCTATAATAAGAAGAGGAAATGTTTTATGAGAGGCCACACCACTTGTCATCCGCAACTCATATTCTATTCATCAGCTGAGAGACTCTGAACTGAGATTTGAACTTTTATTTGTTTCGCTTGTGTGTCTGCTTTGTGGTTATACAGATGCAGTAAAAAGAGACTGTTAACCTTTGAATCTAAATCAGGTTGTTTTTTTAAACCTGGCAATTTTAAGATGAATGTACTTCAATTCTCATGTTGGGATTTCTGTACTTCCGATATGTAGATTTCAACTCCCATGCTGGCTGGGGAATACTTGGAGTTGAGGTCCACGCATCTTAAGGCCATTATTATTCTTTGCTTATACATTCCCATTCTTTTTTCCACCTCTTTTCACAGCTACGAAGAGATTGGAAACTTTCACTTTTAAACTAACTATCATTTCCCATGATGACTGAATAGTGGAAATGATAACAATTTCATAATGGCTATCATTTTAGATCCTAACTTGTTCTGAATCCATTGTTCCACAATTCCCTCAGCTTAAATGCTTAGATAATTATTGATCAACACACACACACACGTCCAAAATGAGAATGCATAAAACCAAGGTTTGTCATAGCTGTTTATGGAGGAGAAAAAAAAGATTTTCTGTTTTGTGTGAGTCAAAACATATGAAATTTGTGCCAGTTTTATGTTTTTATTGTTAATTTCATTTTTTAAAAGCAGAAAGAACCAGCATTCTGTTTATACAGAGAAAACATCCAGCTTAATATATCAAAACAGACTCTTCTTAGGAACTGGATGGTAGATAAAGATCTACCTTTACCAAAGAAAAGCCCCTGTACAATGTAAACAGCAGGAATTTCATTCCAGAAAGTATAAACAGTGCTATAAAATTAAACATTGGGGACTGTGTAGCTGAAAGCTTTGTCAAGGCTTCACAAAAAAAAAAAAAAGATCCATCTTCCTTTGCTTTGCTCTTTAACATCCTTTTGATCTGCTCAGTAGAAATACATTCATTGGCTCCGTCTGTTCTTCTGCAGCATTTCAAATAAAAAGAAAGGAAAGGAAAGGAAACATTACTAAATGCTAAAACAAAAGTAATTTTTTTAAAATTCAATTTGCTTTATTACTGCAAATGTAACAAATGATCAACAATATTTTTGATGTTTACATTAACCCTGGCATAGTTTTTGACAGCTGAATACAGCCAAGGAAAAAAAAAAGGCATTTTCCTTAATTTAATCATCCAAGCGGGAATGCTATCAACATACTCTCGTTGCTCAATTTGAGTCTCCCACGTCTATTATGCCAGATGTTAAAATAGCATGCCTTGAAGTGAAGAGATGGGTTGCCATTTTCTCCTGAGGCCAATTGTGGCATACGTGTCTTGCTGCTGAGCTGCCAAAAGCCCCAAAGAGAAGGCTGGAGGGCTTACATCCAGCTGTTCACCATTATATCCCCTGATATTTCACATATTCAAATGAATTTTTCAAGACAGGGAAGGCAGCTCCTAACTAACTCATGCTTGTATTAATCGCAATAGATAATGACATATATATTTCTAGATAGATTTTCTATGTTCTTTGTTGAATATTGTCTTTGTGCAGATTTACTGTTATTATTATTATTATTATTATTATTATTATTATTATTATTATTATTATTATTATTAATCAAATTTCTATACCGCCCTACTCCCGAAGGACTCAGGGCGGTGAACAGCCAAGATAAAATACAGATAATACAAATATTAAAAATCCCTTAAAATTATTAAATATTTTGGCCAAAACACAGATTAAAACACCCAATTTATAAAATCACGAATTAAAAAATTTAAAAGAGGAGAGTTAGGCCAGGCCAGCCTGCTGAAATAGAAAAGTTTTGAGAGCACGGCGAAACGTGCCCAGGTCCGGGATCCTCCATATCTCTGGGGGGAGCTCGTTCCAGATGGTAGGTGCCCCCACAGAGAAGGCTCTCCCCCTGGGGGCCGCCAGTCAACACTGTTTGGCCGACGGCACCCTGAGGAGCCCCTCTCTATGGGAGCGTACTGGTCGGTGAGAGGCTATTGGTAGCAGAAGGCGGTCTCGTAAATACCCCGGTCCGATGCCATGGAGCGCTCTAAAGGTGGTAACCAAAACCTTGAAGCGCATCCGGAAGACCACCGGGAGCCAGTGCAGCTCGCGCAGGAGGGGGATCACATGGGAGCGCCACATCGCTCCCATAACCACCCACACGGCCGCATTCTGGACCAGCTGGAGCCTCCGGGTGCTCCTCAAGGGGAGCCCCATGTAGAGAGCATTGCAGTAGTCCAAGCGGGAAGGTATAATACATCACCAGGTATAAAAATATGATACAATTAAATATAGTAGATAAAGGATAGGGATGCCAAGCTCTGAATAAAAAGGTTGTCGAGATCTATTATAAGTAAATCTGCATGAACCACGTCTAATTGGAAATGGGAACTAGAAAAATGTTTTCAGAATTTATAGAACTATCCCACAATCAACCTTCTCCATCCTTAGCTTAAATCCAGCATCTCTCTCTCTCTCTCTCTCTCTCTCTCTCTCTCTCTCTCTCCCTCCCCCTTTCCGTCTCTCTCTCTCTCTCTCTCTTTCTTTTTCCTGTTTTGACCACCTAATGCTCTAATTTCTTTGTGTATGTTATAAAGTGTCAGTTTGTACTACATACAGTCCTCAACCTGCAGTTTGTTTAGTAACTGTTCAAAGTTATAACAGCACTGAAAAAAGTAACTTCAACAAATCCTCATGCTTATGACCATTACAGCATGGTCATGTGATCAAAATTTGAGTGCTTGGCAACCAGCATATATTTAAAAAGGTTGCACTGTTCCCAGGTCACATGACTACCATTTGTGACCTTCCCAGACAGCTTTTGACAAGCAAAGTCAGTGTGGGAAGCCAGATTTGCTTAAGGGCCACATGATTCACTACAATGATTTGCTTAACAACTATAGTGAAAAAGTTCGTAACATCAGGCCCAACTCACTTAACAATTGCCTTGCTTAGTAGAGGCAATTCTGATCCTAATTGTGATCATAAGTCAAGGACTACCTGTATTGAACTGTTGTTTTATTAGAACTATAAGGCAATTACATGATCATCATCAGCCTGGAAAGTAGGGACAGGAGATATGGGAAGAAGAATAAAATGTAAAGGTAGATGAACTTTTATTTAAAAGTAGTTAAGCTTGACTTTATTCTCATGATTCTAACTCCCACATAAGGTTTTCATAATCAGATTTAATATGCTCGAATAGCATAGATCAGAGCTAAATTATCATAGATGAATGTTAATGTATATATTGGGAAGCACTCCGCTGGGAGGAAGGATCAAGTGTATAGCTAGCCTGGAAAAGGCTAAAAGGACAAGGACTTAGTTCCTTGGAGCCTTATCTAATTGTTCTCAAGAAGAGGCTGCAAGACTGAGAAGATCCCTGTACATAATAAAGTAGAACATAATAAAGTAGTTAGCTTGAATTCTGAACATGTGGGTCAGGTTCTTCATGCCCAACAGTATACAAATAGGTTAAAAGAAAGAATCAAAACTTTAATATAACCCAGAAATATGTACATCATGGAAATATATATTATGGGCAGATGGTCTCATAGAATTAAGATTCATAGAAATATTTTTGTTGTGATGTGTTAAAGAACATACTATAAATTTAGCTCTCTGCAATATGCAATTTTAAATTGATTTGTGGGAACTCTTGAAAAGGCTTTCATGAAAAGGAAGATGCTTTTAGCCGAACAGTTGTTTCAATCTCAAAGAAGCAACAGAATTTAAATAGTACTATTCTGGGACTAATTCAATAGCTGCTCCTAAATAAACCAAATTCATAACAGGAGGTTAAGCAGAACTCAACATTTTTTTAATAAAATAATTTATAACTAAAAAGTTAGCAAACAGTATATATATATATACATACAGTATGTATATATATATATATATATATATATATATATATATATATATATATATATACATACATACAGTATGTATATGTGTGTATATATATATATATATATATATATATATATATATATATATATATATATATATATATATATAAAAAATTTTGTAGTCAGGGTTTTTTCCTATGTAGATCAAGTTGTTAAATGGCCATAGTGGGATGATATCTCAAATCATCACTTTCAGGCTTGTCAGACATTTTGTGTTGTTTGTTCTGAGACTTATGGGAGACTGGGATAGCACTATTTCTGTCTTTTTGGACTTCATCGGCCAGCCACACCCATATTTTATGACTCCTCCCTGTAAAGGTCAAATATTTATTCTTTTGAATAAATATTTTTGAACCTATGAATTAAAAGAATAAATATTTGACCTTTACAGGGAGGAGTCATAAAAATATGGGTGTGGCTGGCCGATGAAGTCCAAAAAGACAGAAATAGTGCTATCCCAGTCTCCCATAAGTCTCAGAACAAACAACACAAAATGTCTGACAAGCCTGAAAGTGATGATTTGACGTAATCATCCCACTATGGCCATTTAACAACTTGATCTACATAGGAAAAAACCCTGACTACAAAAATATTATACATTTGAGATGTTAGATGTTAAAGCTTATTTCACTCTTTATTATTATTCCATTTTTTAAAAAATTGCTGTAATTTACACTTAATAAAGCTCTTACACTTAACAAAGATCTGGTGTGTTCTTATTATTTGCTCATGAAATTTGTCTTGAATTTTAGCTTTTACTTTCATTGACCATAACCTAAACAAGATAAGAATATTTATAAATTCCTATAGAGGGAAAGCCTTGAGGGATAGGATGCAGAGCTGCTACCAAAGCAATTATATGATGAAAAGTGTCTGGGCCTGACCAAGAAAATAACTAAAAAAAAAAAAAATCTCAGACAAGACCCTCTCTAGTTCAAATTCAAACTTGCAAGATTCTCTTACAATAAAAGTACTAATGACCTGCATTGGTCTACCTCATAAAGTGACATCAAACTTGCAAATCTCCTACTCTCTTTCTAGAGAAGAGATTAGAAGAGATTATTAGAAGAGATTCTGAGAGATCATTTTGGGTATTGGAGATGGCCTTTGATCTTCAGGGGTGGAGGGGGGGCTCACTATCTATTGATCACCTCATTGAAGCATTGTTGCAACACCAGCAGTAAATGGTTATACAAATAACTGATTTATAAAATGCCATGATGCAGCAAGCAACAATTGGGATATAATTTGCCTCAACCTGCCCTGGCACAGCAGCCTACAGCATAGCTGGTGTTTCTGAGTTCTCGTGGGAGCTTGCCAGAAAAAAATTGGAGGAGACCAGGGCCAATTCCTGACCTTCTTGACTTAATATGAACTGTTTATGGTTGGCAGACCAGCGTAGTTTCACACAGATGACACCAAGGTGACTTTTATGCTAAGTTTACTAAAAGCTGGAGCAGCTAAATGGGCCTCACCAATCATTGATAGCAATTGCCTGGTACTGGACAATTATCGAAACTTTATGTGAAGATTTACACGTTGCTTTGATGATACCTTGGAGCACCTGACTTCCATCTATGAGATCTGTAAAGATCAGTGGAGAATGAGGTTATATATATATTGGATTTTAAATTACTTGCCAGAGATGTAGATGAAATGACCTGGACCTGATTGACCAATTCAGAGAAGATTTGCTGAAGAACTAAGATAAACATGTGAGACAACGCCACACACCACATAATTTGAGAAAATATTTCCAAAGTTGTGTGATAATAGATGACATGTTGGAATTGTTGAGGCAAGGAAGAAATGGCCCGGGGGGGGGGGAGTTTTACAGTCTCTCTTTCCCCCTTCCTCCATTCTGCTGACCATCTTGGAATCCAGGAAAATGAGAGGCTGTATGAAGTATGAACTTGAGCACCCAAGAGAACATCAAGAAAGAAACATTTGACCCTCTGTTTTTACTGTTTTTACTTTTACTGTGGAGCTTGTATGTACTTTTACTATGGAGCTTGTATGCACACTGAAATTTCAGGATTCTGACATAGCAGCAAAATGCAAGACTTGAAAGTCTCTGGAGCATGTAGCAAGCAAGTGCCCAACTCGTTTCAAAATTCATCAGGAAACTTTGCAAGGCCCTCTCTCAGGGGTTTCAAGACAACTAAGATAGCTAATAGCAAGCAATCATACTTTATTGTGCTTTTTACTCTTTGTTTACATTCAGGCCAGTAAAATGTTTTGATCTTGTGGACTCAGGGGCAATCTCTGATTTCTAGATGAAGCCACAATGCAAAATTAAAGTAGCTGAACCAGAGTCTCAAAAGATAGTGATGATAGAGACAATAGATGGACAGCATTGGAAAATAGGACCACTTTTGCAGCGCACAAACCTATTGCAACTGACAATGCAAGATTATAAAGCCTCTTTTGAACACCAACCATGAATTACTGGGTTTTGAGGCAGATGTATCATTTTGGGTTTTGCAGCAGCTGAGATCCCAGTGAGTGGGCAGTGGCTATTGTCATCTGTGAGTCCATACAGGTTCACAGAGGCAGATTTAAGGGACTTAGTTGAAAGTGAGTTTAAGGAAACAGTTAAAATTGCTGCTGATGTATTGTACTCCCAGCTGTCCATAATTACCCCTTTCTGTTGGATTTTGTCTGGCAATAGAGTCTCCAAGGCTGCTGGTGTTCAGGAATTTCAATCTGCCATCTGGTGGCATTAAGACTGGGGTAGCCCAGGAGTTCGTGGCCTCCATAGCCATCCTAAACCTATGTATAGTCATTGATGGTCAAATATGTACCAGTGGCTGCATATGTATGATGCACACAAAAACATGCAGAGCTCTGATTGCTCCATTATGGTTGCCATCTTGACTTTTTTACCACATGTTGCAGACATACTTGCTTGGTAGTAGTATAAAAATGGTTTGCCATTGTCACCTTCTGGGTTTTCTTTTCACCTTCCCAATTTAGTCTGCAATCAGAGAAAGGAGAACCAGTTAACTAGAGTTCACCCACCCCCAATCCCCAAAGCTGATGCAGAAAGAGACCATGGTCACAGGTATTGAAGACTTCTGAAAGGTCAAACAGAGCAAGGATGGATGCATTAGCCTCAAGGGTGAAATCCAGCAGGTTCTGATAGGTTCTGGAGAACCTGTAGTGGAAATTTTGAGCAGTATGGAGAACCAGTTGCGCAAATTTTGAGTAGTTTGGAGAACCAGCAAATACCACCTCTGGCTGGCCCCAGAGCGGGGAGAGAACAGAGATTTTGCAGTATCCTTCCCCAACACGCCCACCAAGCCACACCACACCCACCAAGCCACGCCCACAGAACTGGCAGTAAAAAAAATTTGGATTTCACCACTGATTAACCCCCACCGTGGTTGGTAAGAGATCATCTAAAAGTGCAACCATTTCTGTTTCCATCATTAGGCCTGAATCCTGACTGAATTTATGTACTGTACAAGAAAGTGAGAAGATTTTTAATGGCTCTCCTTTTATAACTTAACTGGCACAAACATGATTTGCTCTCCTTTGCCAGGTATCTTAGATTGTTTGGTGTCTGGACCATAACATTGTGTAGCAATTGTGGCTTTCCTTTATAGCTTGTGTAGTAGTGGCTTAATATCAATTTCCCTCAAGTTAGTTAAATATACCATATATATTGTCTGTTTATTTATTGAGATTGTTTTATCACTGAGAGGTGTTTGAAAAAGTTCACTTTGGATGAGGTATATAAATTACAAATGAAAACAATAAAATTCCTCTAAGCAATTTGACATCCCTATTTCCTTTATTTAAAAGAGTCAATGGTTGCTTGGACCATCTCCTCTTAATAGGAGAACAGTTAAAATGGTGTTAATTTAAGATTCTGACTTATATAAACCATCCAGATGGAGACCTTCTTAAAAATCTATTTCGATTCTGGTTTACAAAAAACAATAATTCAGTGTTAAAATTATTTATCAGTCTTATAAATATACCTGTGTATGTGTAACCCCTAAAAGATAGAATGAAAAGGCTATTTTACACAGACATATATAAATTCTTGAGAGCTTTCTAAGGAGTAAAAGAATTCTTCAGAGCTTTCCATTCAAGGGCCAAGAGCGGTCCCCTATTCCTTTTGCAGCACACCAAATAGCAAAGAAAGTACCGGGACAACATTTTTGCATCAAAATGTGTCAAGTACCAAATTCAATGAATTTTGAAGCAGAATACTGAGGTTCCATTGTATATAACTTTACGTAGTAGAAAAATGCATGGAGAGAGAAGCACTAAAATTTAGAAGTATAACTCTAGTAAAGAAGTATTCTTGTGGCTGGTGTTTATGTGAAAAACAAGAAAAATAATCTTTATTCAGGAAAACATGAGTCTGTATAGAGTAATGAGCCTTGTGCTCTTCTCAAGAGGCCATCACTAAACTACCCTGGACAATTATCATTCACTCTCCAATTGTCCCTTTATGGGACAGTTGATTGGGCTGCAATTACAGAGGGTCCTAGACAAAACAGATTATCAAGACCCCTTTTTATCATTCTCTCTCTCTCATGTATCTTACATATTTTCAGGTTGTTGCTCTTCAACTGAAGCACTCAACTAATGCTCAGGGAACAATCTCCCTTGGTGCTCATTTGACTTTTCTGAGTTTTAAAAAAACTTTTTTTTAATTTAAAAAAAAAAAAGGCAGGCTACATAACAAATGCAATCCTCTGGCATCATCTTTATTTCCAACTAGCTGATAACCCGGTGCTGCCAGGGTATTTATAGACATCAAAGTGTTTGTCTGATAGGGAGCCATTGAGAGGGGCCTTCCTTCCCCCTACTCCCATGCCCATCATCCCTGCCCTCTCCCATCCCCCTCCCACCCCCCTACCTGTGCCACCATCCGTTTTACCATTTCCTCAAACTGGGCCTGGGGCTGGAACATAAATCCCTGAGGTGGGCCATGCTGCGCCTCCTCCACTCCTGCTGAAATAGGCTGTGGCCTCCATACCTGTTTCACCTCGGTTGGTGTGGTCCCGGCCTTCACGCGATGAGTTGGGGCAAAGGACGATCCTGGGAAAACGGGCCGAAGCTGTGAGGAGGGGGTGGATGATCTGGTTAGGCCGTGGCCAGTCTAAGTCCTCTGTACTGGTCTAATCAGGCTCCCTTAGCTTCATAGGCCTACTGTGTGAGGGAGGCCTAGGCCTTAAAGGCCCACTGTGTGAGGGAGCACGCTCAATCAAAGTCTCTGTACTGGCCTCATCAGGCTCCCTTCCCCCTCCCATGACATCACAAACAAATGTTGCTGTAGGACACCGCACTCACTCTCCTTAAAGGCCCAGGCTTTCCAGAGTTATGCTGGGACACACACATATACAGACACACACACACACACCAGGGGTGTCTTAATCCCACAGTTCTTGTCTCCAGAGGATAAGTCATCTGTGTACCAAGTTTGGTTGGAATTGCTCAAGGCGTTCCAGAGTTATGCTTAAACAAACATACATACATACATAGATCCTTTTAGATAGATAGATAGATAGATAGATAGATAGATAGATAGATAGATAAGAAGATAAAGTGACAATGTGATGCAACTTTGTGATTTCCCTCAACACTTTGCTCTATGTTGTATGCAGTGGTGGATTCCTCCCGGATCCGCCCGGTTCCGCCGAGCTGGTAGCGGTGATGATATGACATCACCGAACCGGTTCTGCCCCTCACCCCCCCCCCGCGTTATTCTTACCTTTTATTTGGCCCAACCCAAATCTATTGCTGCCTCCTGAATCCCAGCTGATGGCTAGAGAGAAAAAAACTGTTTAAACTCTTGCCGCGGGGCTTCAAAGGGCCACCCTACAGCTGATCAGTGTTAAAAGAAAACAAATGAGTAGACCGGTGCCTGCAAAAATACATGAGTAGATCAGTGCCTGCAAAAATAAATGGGTAGACCAGTGCCTGCAAAAATACATGAGTAGATCAGTGCCTGCAAAAATAAATGGGTAGACCGGTACAGCTCTGCAAGCAGTTAAAAGCCTGGTAGACCAGTATCTCTGCTAAATCCTAAATATTGTCACATGACCATCAAGCCACGCCCACAAAATAAGCCACGCCCACAAAACCAGTAGTAAAAGAATTTAGAACCCACCCCTGGTTGTATGTCTTATGCTTTTAGTTTATGGAGTATTCCAGAGCTATTTGGAAGAAGCTATTTGGAATGCAACAACTAAATAAATAAATCAGATAAGTATCTAAACTGAACAGAACAGTCAGAAGACAAAAGGAAGTGGACTTAGATAAAAGTCCTAAGAATATCACTATAATATCAAGAGGCATGTTATGTAGAAACATGAGAAGTAAGTCCTGTAAACAAGGAAAGGAGATCAATGTGAAGATTCCCTCTGATAATTATTTCTATATCTATGTCCCCTAAGCAATCAATAGTATATAAGGGCAAAAAGCCAGCATTTGAACAGCTGAATTCCAACATCAAGCTTCCTTCATGAATCTGTGGAATAATTTCCAGCTGTTTATTTCTATATTTAAAGTCATTTTGGTATCATTTCAGGATCTGAAGATCTGAAGAATGCAAACTTTTCACATGTTCTAATGTGCTAAAGATACAGTGATATGGAATTGATGCCCATCCAACTGTAATTAATTTATTCTGTTTGGAATCTGTGAAAGGAAAACAGGGTAGGAGCAAAAGGAAATTCTCTTCCAACATTTTTATATCTTCACCCAAACAGTATCTTTCATCCAAAGATGGTGAGTTAAGAAATATGCTAAAAACTTAAGACAATTTCCTTGAACCCCATATAGGTAGGCCTTGCTTGACAACAATAATTAGGGCCAGCAACTTTGTCATTAAGTGAAGTGGTTGTAAGGCATGATGTCACATGACCATGCCAACGTATGACAACAGTTCCAGTAGTCCAAGTTGTCATTGTTAGGTGAATCCTGTGATGTTGCAGGATCCCACAGTCAGGTGCTTCCCATTTGCCTCCTTCTGCTGGTTTCTGTATTGATTTTGCTTCTCAGAAGCCAGCTCTAAAAGTTGCAAATGACAAGCCCATAATTATGAGATGCTGCAACTGTTGTAATTGTAAGCTTGTTGCCAAGTACACAAATCATGATCACATGACTGTGGAGATGCTGTGATGGCCACAACTACAAGGAGAAGTTGTAAGTATCCTCATTTAGCACCCCTGTAATTTTGAACCTTCTCTGAATGAGCAGTCCCTGAACAGGGACCACCTGTACTGCTAGTGAACAAATACTCATGATACGACTTATATGCCTTCACCTAAATATTTAACCTTGTTAATGCACTGAGGCTGAATTACCTCCTTGCTCTATAGCAAGGGGGTCAAACTTGCATCATCATGGAGTCGTCACATGACCTATCATGAGTTTTTCCCCCTTCGCTAAACCGGATGTGGGCATGGCCAGTGCATGACGCATCCGGCCCGTGGGCCACGAGTTTGACACCCCTACTCTATAGAATTAAGAGTTAGTCAGATTGATGGAGGTAGATAGTAGTGATCTGATGTGACAGCTGCCTTCCTTTATCATGTTTATCATTTGATGAGTGCACTGCAAGTGACAATCTCTGACCAAGATGTCATGCATTTCCATTATATTCAACTGTAAATTAAAAATAAGCATTGAAATTGCTAATGTTACATGGATGTAAATGGAGCTCAAATGAGATGCAATCAAAGCTTTATTTCTTAATAAATTTACTGAGTCACCCATTTTGATTTTTTTAAAAGCACTTATTCTGTGATGTAAGCAAAACAATAAAATATACAGCATTAAGGCTCAGTATTGCATAGCATAAACTTGTTTCCATTTAAGCCACTTTCCCCAAAATAACTCATTAAATGTATCAGCAATAACAAATATTTTCCAGAAACTTATCTTTTAGTCACAACATATCTTGGACACTCCTGTTTTCATACACTCCTGATTCAGACTATTTGAAAATTAAGGACAGAACAGAACAGATTATTTGCTCAATAGGACATACTCACAAATAAGGACAAACGGGGATATATTTGGTGGTGATACTGTGCCAGGGGTGAAATCTACTTACCTTCCCAACCAGTTCGGAAGTGCATGCACTGGACCCTTTGTGCATGCACAAACTCTTCTGTGCATGCGCAGAGGGTAAAAAACAGGTTACTTCCTGGTTAAAACCAGGAAGTAACAATGACCAGGCAGGTGGGTGGAGCCTCACGCCACCATCACTACTGGTTCTCCAAGCCACCGGCTGCCATTGCTATCGGTTCGGCCGAACCTGTCCAAACAGGGAGCATTTCACCCCTGTACTTTGCCCATACCCACTCATTGTTCACACCCACACTTACCAAGGTTAGATTGTTTTTTTTTAAGATTTTAAGAAGAAACATACCACTTTTTAAAATTCCACAAAACTTTTGGTTTTATGTAACCCTTACCTATATTTTTCAAGTGGATTATATTTTATTTTGGTAATCTCTGGTTTCCTGTTTTAATGTTGTAAATTCTGTTATGGAACCTTTTGAAGGCCTCAAAGCATTTATAAAGTGATTTAAATATAAATATATTGGATTATTACCAGGTCTCCTTGCTAAAATAGAGCTAAGGATATCTGTAAAAGTATCATTCCCTCTCCCATATATTTTACCTATTTTCAATTTATTGCTCTTCAACTGAAGCACTCAACTAATGCTTAGCGAACGCTCTGTCCATAACCATTTCTCTCGGTATTCATTTAACTTTTTTGACTTTAAAAAACATTTTTAAATTTTTTTAAAGAAAAAGTTGGCAGCCTATATAGCAAATGCTATGGCATCATCTTTATTTCCCATAATGCCCCTAAGTGTCCAGTGCTTCCTGAAAGTGTTCTTAGAACATAAAGACATTATGGGGCTGCATCCCAGTGTTGGGTGGTTTGGAAGACTGTTCATCTGCCTAGAAAAAGAATAAAGATGAGCAGGGGGAAAAAAGCAGTCCCCTGTAGAAAGAGAAGGATATAGTGAGAACAGCAAGCAGCTTATTTTGCACGGCGGCCATTTTATTAAAGAACAAGCTCCTGTAACAGCCTTTTCCCAGCTCTCTGGTGGTTGCAAACAATGGCCAGCTACCATGTAATTTCAAATGAATTTGATGGAGGTGTAGAGTGACAAAACCTTGCCCAGTAATAAAACACATTTTACTTGAGGAAGGTATTTTGTGAAGGACACCTCTGTCTCTAAAGTGGATAAACTTGTTTGGAAAAACCAGCGCAGCATATACTACAAGGCCAAGTATTATTTTCATGTACAGTATTGCTTTTTGCACTGCCAAATTATAGCTATCTTTTTAACAGGAAATGTCGATACCACCTTTCTACAACTTTCATTGTTTGTTTTTAATGTTAGGGGTTGGGTGGGAAGGAAAAGAGACAGGGTAAGGTTTCTTTCTTCTTAAACAAATTACTCTGCTCCCATCTTCTTTAAGTTCACCTAGTTCAGAAGTGTCAAACTGGCGGCCCATGGGCCAGATGCGTCACGCAGAGGCCACGCCCACCCCAGCTCTGCGAAAGGAAAAAACGTTACGAAACATCATGTGATGGCAACATGTGACATGGCGAGTTTGACACCCGTGACTTAGTTAGTGGAGTAGATGTTATTTCCCTTTAATTGTTCTTCTGATCCACAGTTAGCTTATTATGCTGTTGCAGTTATTCCTTATTTCAATGCTAGTCTCGCTTACCACTTTGCAATTCTTCTTTTCAGATGAGGAGATGGCTTCAGAGAATTGGGATGCCCTTGGGGCATCAGGCTGTGGATGACTGGTTTCAGGACTGAGATCTGTACCCAGCCAAAGTGTGCAAAGCAGGTTCCAGCTGTAGGAATGGATACATTGCAATAAGCAGTCAAGAGCAGGAGGCTTTTAATAGAACTGCATTCATTGTTCCTCTGCCTCAGATGTGGGCAACTAGATACAACTGCTTCAAAGATCGCTTCTACTGAACACAGAAGCAAAGCTACTCACTGTGTCTTATTCCACCAATGCCTGGTCAAATCACAATCCACAAAGTACATTCTGAGTTAATGACTGTTTAGCGTTCTTCAATTATACCAAAATTAAGCATTAAAAAGTCTTTGTATAAAGCACAGCCTTCTCGTACCTCACTGTTTAACATTCCACATTGGGCTTCACATCAAACCCATGCATCCGTTTGTACACTATCTGCCCCATTGCTAGATGAGGTATGTTTTTTTTAAAAGAGACATTTTGGAGACAACCCTGAAGCCCTCATAAAGTTTGCTTAAATTCCCACATATTCAGTGCAAAACCTTTATGAGGTTAGACTGATTTAGGACTGGCCTCTCAAGAATTACCTTACATCAGCTTTCTCATAAATCTTATTGTAATCCCAAACTTCCATCTGTATGTTGAGTATTTCCATCTCAACAGTAAATGAATCATTACCAGGGATTGATTGATTGATTGATTGATTGATTGATTGGTTCGATTTATATGCTGCCCTTCTCCGGAGACTCAGGGTGGCTTACAATGTGTTAAGCAATAGCCTTCATACTTTTGTATATACCTGCTTAGTAGGGCTTTCGGCCCCCCCAAGCGGTGTTCTTTTTTATACAAAGTCAGCTTATTGCCCCCACAATCCGGGTCCTCATTTTATCTACCTCAAAAGGATGGAAGGCTGAGTCAACCTTGAGCCTGGTGAGATTTGAACTTGCAGTAATTGCAGGCAGCTGGTGTTGCTTAACAGCACTTTAGTCTGCTGCGCCACCAATCTGATTGGTTATCAGATTCTCAATTTCAGAGTCATCCATAGCAATAGGGGGAGATTTCTACACCACTTGTGGTATAGCAGCATTCCCCTTATCCCTGCAAACAACAGATGAATATTCCCTTGTGTTCAAAGCAGTGTTTCCAGTTCCTGATAAATTCAGTCAGGATGTTGATGGTATCAAAGTTTCCACTTTGGCATTTAAGTTCCTGAATTCTTTGAAACCCAGTAATGTATTTCTTAGGACAAACAGACCCTGAAGTTAAGCCTCATTTTTCACTGTAGCTGACATCATTCTCTTAGGCATTCTTTTATTGCAAGAATCTGCACACAGTTGATGGCTTTTCTAGTTCAATTCCTGGCTGGTTCTGCCAGAAGACAACAAGACTACTCTAACCAAATTTGGGTTAAATGAAATATTTCTTATAATTAGGGATTAAAGAGACTGCATGACTTTCATCCAGGGGTTTATACTTTAGCACTTTCCAATATTGAAAGAAATGGAATAAAGGAGCAGGAGAGGGAAAGCATCCCCATCTATTTCACCAGCAGAAATACTCTGCTGGATGATGTTACTCCAGGGAATTCCTTACAAGAAAGATAAGTGAGAAGAAAGGAAGTCTTATAGGACCAGTTTTTCTTGTCCACCCATCATATTCAATGCCCATGTTCTGAAATTTATATTCCTTTGCTTTTTTTCTGGAAAAGAATAGTAATATCTGTTGGTGAATTGACAGGAGGGAATTGTGAGGGCCAATCTTAGAATTGTTATGCTGCTGCAAATGGCATAAGCATGACCTTCCCCCCCCCCCAATCCATGAAGCCTTATTTGGTCTTTCCAGGCTTCACCCAGTGTAAGCAGAATCTGACAGGTTGTCCAGGAAGGATGGAAAGGTCGAAATATTTTTCCCCCAGTGGAAGACAAGCAGTCTGGTGAGATTCTTGTAACATAGGTGATAAACAATAAAGTTATACCTTGAAGCTATTCATGGATGGTTCTGGTTGTTTGTGCCTCACATTATCCTTGAAAAGGCCTTCTGCAGTCATGAAGGATATACTGACCTTGATTTTTATTTATTTCATTGTAATTGGTTAGTGGGCCTAAAATACCAGAAACAGATGCTCAGTTGGTGGTTATCAACCAACTTATCTGAGCGGCTTTCTAAGCTTTTCCTAGAATTTCTTTGCTGGAATAACAAAATTTCACATTTGCTTCAGAAGAAAAATTTTCCATGATGGAACTACTGTTATCCAAAGTTCTAGGATGACATCATATTTTAGAGAAAACAAAGCCCTCAAGAAACAGATTTCAGAAGAAAATATTTCAGTCTTCTCCACACTACTTAGTAAGAAGACAGTAGTGTTGATTGCTACATATTGCAATCTCTTCCGAAGCTGCTCAGTATGCAAACAACACATATTTAAAATGTGAAATGTCTGGCATAACTATCAAATGAAGCACATTTCTATCAATCCATTATTGACTCATCAAGTTGTGATTCTGAATCACAGCACAAGTGTACCCTATGCGAAAGCACAGATTGTTCCAAGTCTCTGTCACCACATGCAATTTCTTCCTTCTCGAAACCCTAACAAAAATGTATTTTGTAGGGCAAATTACCCACAGGCTGATGTATTGAAGTTTGAATTTATTTTGATAGTGAAAGGGAGCTTCAAGGAATTGTTATCTTGAGTATAGAAGTAGTGAGAATGGGGCCGAGGGGGGGTGGGGGGAGGCAATTGCTAGAGTCCAGTTAAAATTAGAGGCTTTTACAGGTACATATTCCTTTAAAAAATTAGATAATCAATACAAGATCTCTAACCAGCTTCCTTCATTTGTTCCTGAACCTTCAGTTTATCAGACAGTAAATAACAAAGCTGGATGATTGTTAAAGTAGGCTGCCTGCCTGACAACCTAAGGATATTTTTATTGTTCATTTGCTTTAGCAAATCTGTAAACAGAAACATAGATGTTATCAACCAACGTGCTCAGCAGCCCCTTTTGTAAATCTTTAGTAAAGATATTAAATAAACAGTGACTTAATAAAGTTCCCTCTAACAGGCAAAGCCAAAAGATTGCGCTTGAAGGCTGTGTGAAAACATATATATTAGAACTATTTATAATTCAAGCCAACAGTCATTTTTCCTCTTTGTGAACTATTTGCATCAATTTGCACGCACGCAGACATAAGCCACGCACCAGGTTTTCTTCTACTTTTCAGGCAGTTCAAAGGGATTTTAAAAATATAGAAGAATTCCATGCTGCATCCCAATTTGCTTCAGTCCCATGGTACTTCCAGTTTTTTTTTCCTGAACCAGCTGCAGAAATTCTGGTCCAGATTACAGTGGCTGGCAAGAGGTCCAGACTGATCTATGGTCACTGCAAAACCTGTTTCTCTTCCTTCTTGTCTTTCTTATCCAAGCAAATCAGGCCAGCCTCACTAACTAGCTCCTTTGTGGACCAGTTTCCTAGTGCCTCTAAAAAAAAAAAAAAGATTGTTCCCTCCTCACTAGTCCACCCACGTGCCTTTCTATTGTTTTCCCAGATGTTTGCACAGATGGAAGCCTTCACACACACTCCCCTTCCCATGTTATCTCTTTTGACACTAACGCAGACTGCTTTATTTTCTTTTTTCCCCTTATGCTACCATTATACTCTGATGCTACACTGATCAAAGCAATAGCAAACAGGTTGTTCTTTTGTTCTTTTCTTCCTCTGTAGTTTCATACAAACTTTGTAACAAAGAATGATAGTTCAGCTTTTTAGAAACAAAGTTCTTGTGTTGCAACTTCCAGATGTTTAAAAGAAGTTAAGGAAGTTTTGCAAGTATTGAGGGTGGGAAAGCTAGAGGAACAGGCTTCGCCCAGTCTAAGCAGAATCTGAAAAGCTGTCCAGGGAGGATAGAAAGGTGGAAAAGTAGCAGATAAGAATCTAGAGTTGTGGATATTTTATTGACTTAATGGACTGACATGGATCAACCTCCAAGATTATAAAAATAACAGGAACTAATGACCATGACAAAATATAGAAAGCCAGCAGCAGCCCAGAATAAAATGACCAAGTGCTGGAGGGGAAGGTCCTGCCGTACTCCGCAGCCAATCAGACCTGGGGCTGCTGCTAGAATGGAATGAAGCACTGAAGATCATCGATTTTGAAGGGCACAGAAGTTTTGAATCCAAGTTAGAAAGAATTGCCCACTCTTAGAAAGCACTGCCCACTCTTAGCATTTAGTTAGTTAGACTAGTTAGAAAGCACTGCCCACTCTTAGCATTGGCTAAGAGTGGGCAGAAGATGCTGTCACCCATCACCCATTCCTATATTCAGGAAGTGATGAGTGGCCTATACTGGCAATGGACCAGGAAGAATGTATGGATCTCTATTTCATGTTTTTTTTTAATTTGATTTATATGCCGCCCTTCTCCGGAGACTCAGGGCGGCTTACAATGAGTTAAGCAATAGCCTTCATACTTTTGTATATTTATACAAAGTCAGCTTATTGCCCTCACAATCTATTTCATGTCATTCCAACTATTCTTATTTTTCATTAACACACTGAAGGATGTGCACACTACTGTTCCCTGTAGACAGCAACATGTTTAGATGGGTAGTTATTTCATGCATCAGCCCATCTCAGACACAAAACATCAGATCCACAAGGCTTCAATTAAACCACTTTACTGCTAAAGCCTATGCACAGAATCTTCTCAACTAAAAGTTGACACCTGGTTAGAGTTAGATGATAGCCAAAAGGACTCAAGGGGGTTATGTCCATCCCTTCTAGGCTGATCCCCCTTTTCATGCCATCCCCAGGTCCTGCTACTCCTTCTCCTATGTCCCATAGACTTTATGTCTGCTGGACTATTGGCACAGTGATATATGAATGTATGTCATGTTATTTTTCATGTTGTGCCAATGCCATAAGGTTCCTTTGTGAACATGGTATCTGGAGTACCCAGCATTAAGTAATCAGTTCTTTAAAGCTAGTACATATAATCCCTATTGATATTGTGGACTGGATAAGGATCAAGATAGAAGTAATGACAACTATACAGAAAAAGAAAGAACTTTGGAAGATAACACTGAGATGTCACAGGGAAGAGAAAACTATTGTTTTATATTATTTTTACTCACAGTGTGTTTTGAGTTATTCTAACAATCAAATATTTCTTAATTTCCTGAAAAGACATAAGCTTGTGAAATCCATAATTTCCTCAATTTGGTTTCTCCCACCACACCAACAAATTCTTTACCCTAGCTGTAGATAATGGCTAGTCTTCATTAACTAAAATGTATAGGAAAAGTATATACTTTTTCATTTAGATTGCTATAGATAAGGGGCAGGAGGAGAATGGTGATGGGA